CCCCAAAACCCCAAAACCCCAAAACCCCAAAACCCCGCATGAATAATAAAATATTGAAATTTCTAAATTGTCTTGATAACGAATGCAGCAAATTATACGTTGATGTGCATTAACAGACCTCACTTTGGTAAATCCATTGCTACAAGTTAGACATTGAAGTACCTTTTAGCTTGTTGAATATTTTCTCAGAGTAGGTCATTTCAAGCATCTACAGGTGAAGAGAGGCCTTACCCATTTATTGCCATAACAAAGTTTAAAAGAGGTCGACAGTCTGTCTGATTTATACCCAAGTTTTCCATTTACTTTCACATGTTTGTCAAGATGGGAAGAAAAAGTTTTTGAGATGCTGAAACTCAGGTTTGACAGATCTGTAAAAGCAGTTATACCTTTCCAATAAACCTTAGGAATAATCCATCTATCTAGAAACTTAATCTGAGGATTATTCTCTGCTGAAAAGTTAACGATAAAGCTTTTGTCAAGAAGAAAGATGCTTACCAGGCTTGATAAGGAGCTTTCCAGTGATATTTTTGAGCTTTCCTGTGACAACCAAATTTTTGAGTTGATATTGAAGACTTATCTCTAAAAGTTTAGGAGAAAATACCTGCTAAGAATACTCCAAAGCCTTTATACATTAAATGAGGAATTTTAGGATTTTTTTCTTTCTTTTTAGAGCCAGATGAGCTTGATGAGTCAGAATCAGTATCTTTCTGCAAAGATTATTTTTAAAATTACACAATATTTCTGTAAATATGGATATGCTGGCGAAGTTAAGTCAATCTTTGCCTTGATTGAGAAGTTTGTTGAGGGAATTTTTATGAAGTTAGTCTTCAAGTGATGGCCAAAGATATCAAAATTTAGGGATTTGTAATTTATTTTTGATGAGAATTTTGCTGCTTTTGCTAAGTTTCTATTGATTGAGTAAAAGAATTACACTCCTAGGTTACATTCCCATTGGCTTTCTATTTCATAAAACTTTACTCTTACTGCTTCTCAAGTTTAAATGCAATTCATCAACCTGCTTTCTTTTAGCCTGAATATTCACACCAAAATTCATTTGCTATACAATTTTGTGTAACCCAAAGCACACCCTAGAGTATGAAAACAAACTTTAAACCCTCTCCAATTTTTCTTTACCTCATGCAGCAAGCGCTTTTTCCAATATTCACTTCTTAGAATTTGCCTCTCAAAATTCATGCCGATACTTCTCACATTGCCTTGGAACATGGCATTGGCTTTCTTGGTGGCTACTTTGTCATTAGCATCAAAAGTCTTGGTCTTTATGCTGATAGTCTGCTTGTAAGGGTTATTGACATCTACTTTGGTATCAACTTTGGCCCTATTCCTGGGTCCAAAAACTCCATTCATTATAATTTATTATTTAACCAATAAATCTGCCAAACGGGGTTTTGGGGTTTTGGGGTTTTGGGGTTTTGGGG